TCTTTAAAAACACAACATGGGTGGATTCCTTGCATTATTAAATTTACGGAAATTTGTTTAAATCCCGAGATTATTTACGGTTCCGCACACTCTAAACAAGGTTTTAAATAAATCAACGTTTTCCATTTGCGCGTTTTACATCGTCGTCCTCCCCCTTTAGCCCAACGGGTCATCATCGTCACCGTTGCGCTGTAGCTACAAAACGAACGAAACGAATTTACACAAGTGAGAAAAACACGTCTCTGCAGACGCTGCCAATTCGGACGCCGACTGTGAAGTGAACACGATTCTCAACGGGTCGTCCCGAGCCGACGAGGCCCCATGTTAATTAACCGAGTTTTGCTGTTTACATAAACCAATTAGGCATTCGTTGCTGATGTCACTTTTTAATGAAATACAAATTGAGAACGTGAACGTAGCGTGTGCTTTTGACGTTATCGTTTTAAACCCCTCGTCATTTTCACTTAGATAATAGCCTTTTCATTGATTCATAAGCAAGTTAAATAGGTTTTTTTTATTTCTATAAAGTTTTGCCATAATTCTAAAGAGTTTGCAGAATTCTGAATCATGATTAATTAAATTAGAATTAAAAGAATTAAATTAGGGTTGCCAACATGGTTATTTTCACGCGGAGACTCCGAGTTTTCAACTAAACCTACGCGCTCGCATATTTTGTCGTGACACCATCCAGTTTTTTGGTACGTGTTTGGTAACACGAAGTATTGTCAGGATTCAATGAAAGTGCAAGAAGTAAACTTAACCTATCTTTATTTATTCGAACTTCTACAGATTCTTTTGGGGTGGAGCGAAGCTTCTTTGACCCAGTGATAAAATAGGATGTTTGACGACACGAGTTGGAGACCTTTCTTGTCTAGAGGTTAGCTATTAACTGCCCTTTCGTTGAAACGAGAGGTTTTAAGAAAACTCTTTGTCGCTGTTTTTGATGAACCTAATGGTGGGAAAGAAATAATCTAAAGGCCTCAGTCGTAGACACATCCTGTTTGTTTTCTATTATCGTTTCACTTTGTAGTCAAAACAGCCTGCTGGGGCGGAAGAGTGTTAGCCTTGATTAGGACAACATCCTGTCGGCTGGATATCTAACAATTTCAATAAAATTTTCCGGGCTTGTAAAACTCTATCTATGAACAAATAGACTTGTTCTATTTACATCTTACGCCTTTGAACGAGGGGTATTACGAAATTTTATTTAATTTCGAGGAAATCCCGGTTTACTTATAATTCTGTTAATTTTTATACAATACTTTTACATTGTAAATAGTAATCACTCTTACTTTTGATACTGCAGCGTGTAGCCTTTATCCCTTTCTGTAAATAAGTATTTTGTTTCCTTCAATGACGAATGGTTAACGTACAATGAATACAAAAATTTGTTGCAATAGGAAAATAAACTAACTGGGAGTAGCAAATTATGTCGAACTGCATTCGTTATTAAACACGATGGAGAAAAGGTAGTAAAATCACACCAAAATTCTGTTCGCCATGCACAAATATAATCACAGCACAAAGTAGTTCACAACTAATAACCACATATTTTGTAAGTAAGGAAACAGCGGAAGATGTGGAAGAGGTGTATCATGGCGTAATGCATTAACACAGAAAAAATAACAAAAAAAATCAAATGTGGGCGCACAAAGGCATCTAGTTTAGGTAGTTTGGTTTTAAAAGAGTTGAAAAACAAACAAGAAATGAGATATATATTCGAACACCTCCAACATAGGAAATTTTAAGTTATTTCCCCCTGTAATTACGTATTTTGATCACCGATCATTATGAGACATCTAAAACTAAACCTAAAACTATTGAGGGTAATTTTTTAAATTGATATTTATTGTGATACTCATTTTATCTCATGTTTCATTTTAGTCGTGCCTGAAGACGAGACGCATGTTACAAAACCTATGTAGCACCTATAACATATAATAAAAAATTTCATCGCTATCTTTTTCGAAATTTTTTAATTCTTGACGCGAATGAAGATGGATTTTGAGTTAACTTCATTACTCACAGCAGAGGTATCTGTCCTAATCCAAAAACTAAGGAGTACTTTAGTGAAACGTGAGAAGACTAGAGACAACATAAATTTCCTACATACAGCATTAACAAAAGATCTAACACCCAAATCCTTCATAATAAAAGTACCTAAACCTTTCTCACAACATAAAGCTCAATTTGAGAAGAGGTTAATGAAGAAAAAACTTCGTGGCCGACTCAATATTGAAATTGCTTCACCGAAAACTACAGGAACATCTACATAGTTTAGAATATGAAGAAATATACGAAAGGTTTCAAGATGAAGCATTTTATAAAACCTTAGAAAATAAAGAAGCTAAGAATAAAAAACTTGTACGACTAGAAAAAGTAAAGAAAGGTGTAAAATTCACACTGTAAAAATAAAAATAACACTACCAATGCAAAGAAAAATAATAACATTAATAATTCAAATAATAATAACAATATCTCATCTAACAGTTCTAATAATTATAACTCTACTACAGATAACAAGGAATATTTTCACATTAAAGGAATAGATAATCACAACCATAATTTTATTTTAAAAGCTAGTGTAGGGGATCTCGATAATATTTCATTTGCTCCTATATTTACTAATTTAAGTGACGTTCAATTTAACAGAGTAGAGACTAGTATCCTAAATTAGGGCATAAACTAAACCTACCAGTTAAAGTTAACTCTACGGATATTGCTATAAAAATGGAGGCACAACTAATGTTCAACCCCCACAAAAAGCAAATTTATAAATTAATAATTAAATTAATTAATTAATAATTAATTTATAAAGACTATTTTAACACTATAAGAAACTTGAAACTAACACTCCAACTTTAACAATATGATGATAGGGACTTTGAAAGATAAAATTAAGGAACAAAACCTTATTATAACATTGGGTGACAAAAACGCAGGTTTAGTTGCGCTCAACAAAAATACCTACATTGAAAAGACATTAGAATTCTTTAAAGCCAACGATATATTTAAAATTAACTAAAAAACTTTATTAGAAATAATTCCGAAACGCTGAAACCATTTAACATTGACACTTTCAATACATCAGTTATGAACCACTAATACCCACAATGAAAAGCTTAATCAAATTACACAAAGAGGACAAAAGTATTAGACCTATTATTGGCAATAATAATACCCCAACAAGTCGAGTTGCTGCTATCATCCAGAAATTCCTTTATACAACTCTTAAGGAGAAACTTCATTGCAATATTAAAAATTCGCAGGATCTTATAAAAAGGACCAAAGATTTAATTATTTCCAAGAATACTAAACTTATATCATTCGATATCCCAAATGTTCGATAATATCCCTATTAAAGAGACTATTTTAATCATAATCACTTAATAGAAGAACACACTGAGTTGCAACTAAGATTCGAAAGTAGAATAGCCCTTTCCAACCTCTTAGAGTTAATTTGTAATCAACATTTTTTCCTATTTAATAATCAATACTATCAAATGACGGACGGCCTTCCCATGGGATCTCCCATATCAATACATACATCACCCCTGCTATATTTCAGAATCATCCCTAAAGTGCTTCTGTATTGTTTCTCACTTTTTTCAACTCTGCCTGGGCCTTCCTCAAATTATTTTCTTCCATCTACATATTAACATTACACTTGATATTTTTCAACATCAGTATCTTCCTTATTAAGTATGTCAATTTCATCATTATTAAACTTTCAACTATTAATTTCAACTATATGTGGAGCAATTGATAAACTTTATAAAGTAGTGCAAAGTAATAAAAATAATGCTGATGATGAATTCGGATTTCCACTTTATCAATATCAGAATACTCCATCACTAGAGGTTTCACCTTCTCAGTATCATTCATCTCCATCGCTATCACTTTCAAGTAACATAGACGGAGAATATTGGTCGTGGTTGGTGTCAAATCAATCATGCGATAGACATCAACGTGTCGAGTATACGCAGGACTCATCTAATATACTTAATATAGCTCTAAAAACTGTATTTGACTAAATTTTGTATTATTTTTGTCAATAAAAATAATTTATATTTACTTCAATAAAATCTTGCAAACCATCGCATATTCCTGTACAAAGTTCTCCAAAAAAAATTCAAATGATGTTTTTAAGTACGCGATATACAGAATGAAGGGTTGAAAATGAATCTCCCTAGCTAAATAAATTAAAGTTACAAGCAGCTTTAAGTTTGATGCGCTTGGTTTTCGCATCAAGTCAAATAATAGGACTTAAACATCGAGTATGACGTGAAAAATTCTTTACGCTACAATTGTTACTTTAACCGGACATATTATTAGATCTTGAGCATCTACAGTTCTTGAGGCTCGAAATTTTGGTTCATCGTGATAGTGATGTTAGCAAGTTTAGCGAGCGTATTATAAATTAGGTTTAACAAAAGTCGAAAATTACAATGTTTTCATTAGTTCGGGTAAGTAACCATAAATATATCGCAACCAAAAACAATAATATCAGTTTCACGAGGTAACAAACTCTTAAATTTGAACGATGTTACATATTTCCGAAGCAATAAATAATCAGATACTCATATGCAAATTTTTACCAAAGAGGTATTACAAGTTTATTATTTATATTATTAATTATATTGCCAAGATTTATTTTATAATTATAATGAAAGTTTTAATGTTTTCAATTTTCAACATCTATGAACCGAAATTTGAATTAATATCGACAAAATTGCGACATAATTATAAAAAGCAGAGTAATTTCAATACAATTTCGTTCAACCTTTATGTCTAAATATTTATTACGAGCATATATAACATTTGAGTAATTAATCTCAATTTAAAGTGTAACCACTTCCGATTATGCGATTTGATTAATCATATATCTCTATACATATAAGGTCAACTTATATACAAATTTTGTAGTTAAATTATATCAGAAAAGAAACGAATATTAAAAACATAACATTTCATTACCATCACAAGCAATACAACACAACGAGAATTTATATTTTTATTTAAATATGCCCAGTTTATGTTACATTAACGACACTCTTGAGTTTTTGTGTACAAGATGAATTTGGTTTTTATTAATAGTCTTCTTTACAGATTGAGGAACTTGAGGAGGTTTAATACTTGAGCATTGACTTCTGGTAGTTAGAACTTCTTCTTCTTTTTTAGGCTTCTGACGCGTATTTGAGTGACGTTTGCTTAACATTCCAACCACCGATCTGAAGTGTGGGGAAACGAATTTCACGACATCTAAAAATTTTCAATATTTGACTTACATTATAAATCAAATTATTCATTGAATTGCTTACCGTACACGCATGACAGGAAAAAAAGCGTTGATAATGTTAATAAGTATGCTAACAGGAATACTATCCAGTTTTTTATTGTAAAGAGGCCTTCTTCCATTTTAGTGGCAGGTCAGTTCGACATTTTGATAACTGACAGATGATATCAATAGAAACCTTGGTAATTCGGATTATTATTAACATTATTATACAAAAATGTTTATTTTTTATTTTGGGTACAATTTTATATACATATTTAATACCGATAACATTAAAATTTATGTTTTTTTTTATAATTTCGTTGATTTAGGTAAAGTATAGTACCGATAAGCCGAATACTGATTGTCTGAACTCATTGTTCAAGTTATTCTTATGGTTTCGTAAAATTCAAATTTATTGTGTAGCAACGTGCTGGTATAAGGAGTAGTGATGCTCAAAACATGACGCTGTATCATGTTTATATCCTGAGAGCCTCATTAACCTCTGTCACACAATCCCTGGGGAAGAGTGCGGTAACTAATTTTATGAGATATAATCTTATGTGGATAGGAGGATCAGCGCTAAAGATATACGAGATGCAGAAACTCACGTAATGTGGAAAGGCGAGAGGAAGTAAAGAACTTGGTATCTTTAATTTAAACCTAATCAATGTGCACAGACCTACAGAGCAGCAAAACATCAGGCATCAGGCTCACAATGGGCGAAATGAATGTCTCCACATAGAAATCAATGAAATCGGTGATTTTCTAATAAACTTTAAAAACAGGAACTGGAACTAGATACACAACCAGTAGAAGAACAATATCGCAACATTATAATCGCAGTAACGGATACTGCAGTGTAGCAGAGCAAGAAAGACGGAAAAGAGCATCGTGGTTTGATGAAGAGTGTAACGAAGCGATAGAAGAGAGAAAGAAGACACATAGGAGATATGTGGCACGGGAAACAAGGGAAAGGTGAATAGATTTCGAAGCAGTGAAGAAGTAATGGACACATTGTTCAGCAGGAAGAAAAGAGAAGGCGGTTTTAAAGAGAATAGAATAAGATACCCATATTATAAAACCTAAAGAAATTAAAAACTAGGTATAAACCTGAAATCAGCCACTACAAGAAGAAGGAGGACCAAGTATTGAGTGACAAATAAGACTTAAAAGATGTATAAAAACATTACTTTCACAATCAATTGGGATCCCGGAAGAGATTCAGGAACAGGAATACACATAGAACCCCCATTAGAAGAAATCGCCAAAAGTAATACAAGTCTAAGAAAAAACAGTAAAGGACCCAAAGCAGATAACATCTCCTACGAACTATATGTATGTATAAGTTAGATGGTAACCACTTAATAAAACACATTCATGCGCTAGTTAATACTACACAGAGAACAGAGCAAATGTTAAACGATTAGAAGCAAAGCATCACTTGTCCCATTTATAAAAAAGATAATAGACTTGCCTGTAAGAAATACCCCGGAAACTCTACTCTCTGCATGGCATATAAGACGCGTGTTTAGGGGTAGAAGGTTTTGGCCCGGCGGAAGTAATCACAAAATTTAAAAATTTGAGAAATGCATATTTTCAAGAACTGAAAAAGATTAGTGACAGTAAGAAGTCGGGTTGCTCTCGCGACAATATACAGTGCTAGCGTAAAGTAACCCCCCCCCTTTTTAACTTCCGAACAGATTGAGATATCAATATGAGCAAAAAAACGTCAGGTTCTATATTTTATCAGCACAAATATTTTCTTATGGAAAATTTTGCTATCACTTTTAGTTTTTCCGGAAAATGGATCCACTTTGTTTTTTAAATGGAACACCTAGTATATTATGGTATTTTCCGAAAGATGAAACCAATACGAATCCAACGGTACCTCACAATCAAATATCGGTTTATTAGTTTTTCGCATAAAAATTAAACAAAATGCGGAATTTCGCCGGAAAAACCAACGTATCTTCGTCGACTACCTGTCGAAATGCAATCGGCCAGTTAAATGGTGGTCGGTAGGTTAACGGTAGGTATACGCTCGAGCTAAGACGGATTTAAAATTGATAGTTCCCTTACTTATTTTTGAAGTATATTAAATTTATGAATTAATCATATTTTATCAAAAAATATTTATAAAGAAAAAATCAAAGTCAATATAAGAAATGAAATTTTTTTTATTAAAGATTTTGCCGTATTGGTTGAAAAATTGGCTTAGTGTTGTTATTGAATAATAAAAGAATTTTTTATTTATTAGGAACAAACATTTTTGTAGTGTTTCCTCTCACACGGCTTAACATGTGATGATCAATATTTTGGCAGACGTCAATAATTTCGTCAATAACACCATAAAAAGAAATCTAAAGGTGTCAGATCTGGTGATCTTGTTGGCCATTCAATCGGCCCACGTCGACCGATCCACCGTCCATTAAAATTTGTATCAAGATAATTTCGTACCATTGCCACATAATGTGGAGGAGCCATTTCAAAATCGTCAGGATTCTGGTGTACAATTTGCAAAAGACTTGGATTAATATCTTCTTCTAATAATCTTAAATACAATTACGGTCTAATTTTCGGTTAGGAATATTGGTCTCACGATGTGATTTCCCAATATGCCTGTCCAAACATTTATTTTCTTGGGAAATTGAGTGTTAACTTCACGATATTCATGTGGACTAAAATCACTCTAGTAACATACATTTTGTCGATGCAATTTTCCATCCAAAAAGAAAGTACATTCATCACTGAAACAAATCTAAAAATATTTCCCAGCCGTTGTTGGACCCACATCACATGTTGATGCGATAGCAGCAGACGACATCATGCACGCATTAACTACTTCTGTTAACATCTGCACTTGTGTGTCTTCAGAAATCGAACGACGACCAGTTCTTTTGCGGTCCTCGACGCTTCCAGTTTCCAAAAATTTATTTACAAGTTCTCTTAAATATTTTCGACTAATTGGATGTTCAGGAAATCGTTCATTAAATTGTCGCTCTGTTTCATGTACATTTCTGTCAGCACGAGGGAATATTAAAATTCCTCCGATTTTGTGCTCTAAACTCCTTCTAGCCATTTTATCTCGCTTTTCTTTGGTTATACTTGGTCGGGTAGAATTCCAAGATAGAAATGAAGGACAATATTTGCATGCTGCCTTAAATAGAAAATTTCAAGGTACCTACAAACTTTAAAATTGTTGTTATGACAATTTTTTCTTAGAAGTTTTAAGAAGAACTTTCTTTTTATCCTTTTCTTGCATTGATTGTTTCATAAAAACATTCTAAAAGAATTGCCGATTTTAACCCTGCTTAACCCGAGCGTAGACCGACCTTTAACTGACCGTCCACCATTTATCTGGCCCATTGTATCTCGACAGGTAGTCAACGAAGATGCGTTGGTTTTTCCGGCGAAATTTCGCATTTTGTTTAATATTTATGTAAAAAACTAATAAACCGATATTTGATTGTGAGGTATCGTTGGATTCGTATTGTTTTATTCTTTCGAAAGATACCATAATATACTGGGTGTTCCATTTAAAAAAACAAAGTTGATCCATTTTCCGGAAAAACTAAAAGTGATAGCAAAATTTTCCATAAGACAATATTTGTGCTGATAAAATATAGAAACTGACGTTTTTTTGCTCATATTGATATCTCAATCTGTTCAGAAGTTAAACAGGGGGGGGGTTACTTTAAGCTAGCACTGTATACAAACCTACAGTGTGTTGGTTTGAAACCACAAATGCCTTTTGAAGACCCTACGTGACCTAACGTCATACACTTAATAACCTGGTAAGTTTTATTTCATGTAAAGGTATTGAAAAATCACTTGTCCTTTTTCTGGAATAAACCTAAAAAAGAAAGCAAGTTTTGAAGTGGTAGCTGCCGTACAGGAGGATTTACAGAAACAATTGATTAGCGAGAATCAGAAAGAACAGAGGAGAATTTACAAAAAAATAAACATGAAAAACAACAAAAAACATCTTCGTATTCTTCACATGTAAATGACGGATTGGACGGGCTAGCAAAAATACTAGCAACAGTCATAGCAGTTACATAAACTGAAACTGAATTTGACATATGGACCAAAAGCCTTGCTGTTCAATTGAACAGCATGGAATTAACTAGAGCTCTGAATCTACAACTACAAATTCAAACTGTTTTATCACAGGAAAGAATCGCAGAACAGAGTATGAACAGAGTAAAAACGCATTTTCAACATCATCAATTTCTTAACAGAAAAGGCAGAAAAGGTGAGCACCACCATTTTTATCAATTATTTCAGATAACGACAGTAATGTATATTAATATCTTTTAATAAATTAGTATTTGGTTCTTAAACACTTGTTTTATTTAACCAAAACTCACTTGTTACAATATGGATCTTTTGCCACATAATAAAACAAGTACATTTTTATTTTTAAATACACATACATACATTTAAGTACAATATGTATATAGTATATTATTCAAGAAGCGTATAATGGCGGCTGTTACCCACGAAGATGAAGTTCTGAGTGGGTAACATCCATTATACGCAAGTTGAATACTATACTTTATCTACAACTATTTAATTTTGAAAAAAAAAAATCAAAAAAAGGAAAAAAATAAACTTGCTAGACATTTCAGACATAACCTCAATATAAGAAAGCTGTCATTACTGTTAAAATTTATTTTTTGATTAGTAGGCCGTGTCAGAACTGTGGAATAATGGCTTATTTATTATTCAACACTTTGTCAGTCATGAGTAATGCGTGTCATTAACCGTCAAAAATCAATTGTATAACGAATAGATAATTCAATAGTTGTAGATAAAAATATTTATGATACCATGCTGTCTTGCCAACTAACAGATTCTTCGCCATTAAAGTATTGACACTATTTGTCTCGAATGTTTACAGGTTGACGGTAATGTTTGCAATGCACTGGAATTCAATTCTCTGCAAGAGCCTGGGTGTAGTACGCCATTGTCATCTTCAAAATCTACAGCCCCAGGAATTATATAACTAGAATTGGTCTTTATCAACCAATTATGTATTCCACAACAACCATAAACAATTTTCTCAGCTGTTTCTGCTTTTAGTGCAATTGCTTTTTCAAACATCTTAAATCTACTTGTTAAAATACCAAAAGTTTTCAATGGGAACACATCGTCACCAATAGTTACAGGATATCCCGGAATGCCCAAACTTTCG